GTTCATTCCATCCTGGAATTTCATGATGTCGTTTAGGTTTGACAGTTGGTATAGTATAGTGGTGTAGTGTAACCCTGTGCTATATTTCACTCTGTAGTGTAACCCTGCACTGTATTTCACTCTGTAGTGTAATCCTGTACTGTATTTCACTCTGTAGTGTAACCCTGTACTGTATTTCACTCTGTAGTGTAACCCTGTACTGTCTTTCACTCTGTAGTTTAACCCTGTACTGTATTTCACTCTGTAGTGTAACCCTGTACTGTATTTCACTCTGTAGTGTAACCCTGTACTGTATTTCACTCTATAGTTTAACCCTGTACTGTATTTCACTCTATAGTTTAACCCTGTACTGTATTTCACTCTGTAGCGTAACCCTGTGCTGTCTTTCACTCTGTAGCGTAACCCTGTGCTGTCTTTTACTCTGCAGTGTAACCCTGTGCTGTATTTCACTCTGTAGTGTAACCCTGTACTGTATTTCACTCTGTAGTGTAATCCTGTGCAGTATTTCAGTCTGCGGTGTAATCCTGTGCTGTCTTTCACTCTGTGGTGTAACCCTGTACTGTATTTCACTCTGTAGTGTAATTGATCCTGTACTGTCTTTCACTCTGTAGTGTAACCCTGTACTGTATTTCACTCTGTAGTGTAACCCTGTACTGTATTTCAAACTCTATAGTTTAACCCTGTACTGTATTTCACTCTATAGTTTAACCCTGTACTGTATTTCACTCTGTAGTGTGACCCTGTACTGTATTTCACTCTGTAGTGTAATTGATCCTGTACTGTATTTCACTCTGAGGTGTAACCCGTACTGTGTTTCACTCTGTAGTGTAACCCTGTGATTTCTTTCACTCTGTAGTGTAACCCTGTATTGCACTCTGTAATGTAACCCTGTACTGTATTTCACTCTGTAGTGTAACCCTGTACTGTATTTCACTGTGGTGTAACCCTGTGCTGTGTTTCACTCTGTAGTGTAACCCTGTGCTGTATTTCACTATGTAGTGTAACCCTGTGCTGTATTTCACTATGTAGTGTAACCCTGTGCTGTATTTCACTCTGCAGTGTAACCCTGTGCTGTATTTTACTCTGTAGTGTAACCCTGTGCTGTATTTTCGCTCAGTAGTGCAACTCTGTACTGTATTTCATTCTGTGGTGTAACCCTGTCCTGTATTTCACTCTGTAGTGTGACTCTGTACTGTACTTCACTCTGTAGTGTAACCCTGTACTGTATTTCACTCTGTAGTGTAACCCTGTGCTGTATTTCACCCTGTAGTGTAACCCTGTGCTGTATTTCACTCTGTACTGTAACCCTTTG